CTCACACTTAATTCTTTATGAAAATATAAAGATCGTGTGGAAAAAATAATTAGGCTGTTTATAACATAACGTTTTTGTGGAATACTGTGCTTGAGACATGAGAGCAGATCCTTGACACTGTTTACCGTGAATATTGTCCTTTGGTAAGTATGTTAACGAACATGTCACTCGATATTTTAAGTATACAGGTGCAAAAAAACAGCCGTTAAAAGAAATTGTTTTGCATTCTACTATATAAAATATGTAAACGTGTACATAGTTCATAAAATTAACGCATGATAGACAAGATATCCCTTCATCGCCCTGATGACGGAGGCAGTATGACCTCTGAAACGTCGGTTAACATCGACCAGACTACACAGCGCAACAATCCAGAAGACAGAAATCTTCATACTCATCGCCCTGATGATGGAGGCAGTATGACCTCTGAAACGTTTGTAAACATCGACCAGACTACACAGCGCAACAACCCAGAAGACAGAAATCTTCAAGATATGCTTGTTTGCCCGTATGTAATAGGCAATACAGTCGATTCTTGGCGATTGATATGAAACAGAGAGCGAATTTGAACTACAGAAGCCGACAAATAGCAGAAATGTTCAAGAAATATATCGAAAAATGCCTTTGCCTTACAATATCAGACCAGAGCATTTGTATGTGAATTTGCATGATTATTAAGTCTTCGTTTGTCGACATGCTGAAATCGATCTCAGTATGATAGATCGAGTATACAGACCCCCTCAGAAAGAAGGGGAACATAATAGTAATTCTGTCGGCCCTTTGCGCTAGAGCTGAGCATAATGTCCGCCTCCAGCACGAAATCTCGGTGCAAAGGCATGCCGAGGTTTCTCTCTCTCTCACACACAGTTGATAGGTTAAGTCCGTAACATGCTCACAACAATCGTTTGATTTCAGAAATGGAAATAAACTTGCCTTACCCCCACTCATCGTGCAAACCCAAAAAAAGCGCTTCGCTGTCGTGAACTAGGCTCACGAGAATTTACTCTGCTCATTATATCAGATTCAGAGTTAAATAACAAAAGTACCGAAGCTTCGAAAATACAAGCGTATGGGAACATATTCAGATATTTAACTTCGGTTGAATTTGTTTCCAAGTCGTTTACAGTTCTAAACGTCTGTGTGTGTTTGTGAATCCATGCTTATGCACTATATAATGAAAAAGATGTATACACACATTCATTGAATGAAATAAAGACATTCTAATAAACTGAACAATTACATACGTCATTGTTGGTACTTGGTGAATTAGCGAATCTAGTGTAGTTGACAGCGGTGAGCAAGTGACATATTTTGGGACACCTTGTATATATAAATGCATACCTCTCTGGGTCCAAGATAGATAAACATCCTAATGCTACTACTCCTACCACCTCCTAACTCCATGGACCAGAGTCCTTGAGAAGCTAATAAGTCGCGTGACTAGTCAGAAATATCCACGTCTTTTATGGAACCCTTGTATTCATTGCCGTATTCACAAAGGTCATCAATCAATTTCACTTCCTCCAACCCTCTTTCAATAAGAATAGTTTTAACATCCATCTACGTCTGGGTCTCCCAAGAGGTCTCTTTTCTTCGTGTTTAATACTTACTACGGGTAGCACTACTTACTGCGACTTCCTTCGTCAACCTAGTGTCAGGGTGTAGGCCTAGTAGTTAGGTTCCAGGTTCGTATTCTAGAGTACCTGGGTATGAATCTCAGCCCAAAGATCGGTCATGCCTGCAGTTTTTTGTGGTTTTGCAGAGTCTCGCCAAGCAAATGTTGTCATGATGCGTATTATCTTCGTACAGGTTACTACCCGCTCCTTCCACATTCGTGTCAGTTCACCGTTCTTAACCCTTTGACGCCGAATTTCGTCTAGAGAATGTTAAGAATTTAATCAGTACCGCAAAGAAAACAACATTTAACCATTACAGAAATCAGTTGGTTAATGCTGTTCAAGGAAATAATCACTGTTTACAGTTAGAATCATACGGCATCCATAAATACAAAACGCAGAATTAATGGTTGTTAAAACTTCTGATACTACTCCCAAATACAAAACGCAGAATTAATGGTTGTCAAAACTTCTGGTACTACTCCTACTAGGCTTTAAAGGGTTAAACATTCCCATTAGTTTCTTATTTGACTGTTTTTCATTCTTTCACGTCAAAAGTCGTGTCATTGAACACTGCTACTCCGAAATTTGTGTAGGCTGTAAGTACTCTCGATATTTTCAAGATTGTTCAAACTTTGTGGCACATCTAAAAGTCACATAGGAGGGAAATATATTGTTCAGCAAAAGGCCATGGACATTGTCGATTCCACTTGGTTTTGGTTGATTAATAGCCGTTTTAAAACGCTCTATGTGGATAGAACTTTGTATAATTTGTGAGGAAGATGTTACTTTCTTAGCTGCGTTAAGAAGCAGAGGAAACCCACGAAAACTCTTGAGCTAGATAATGTCTCGTTCGAGGTGTAAACCGGGTTGCCGTCGTCAGTTCTTTTGACTGCAGACGGTGTGATAGTGAGACCGTCTTGGAAATATGGTTGTTTGTTTAAACCTGAAGCTGCTGGTGGCTTTTAATGACATGGAAACCATTATCTGTCCAGCCGAATGTTTTCTGTTAAGGCAAGTTCTTTCAACCGCACCCAAATCGGACTGAAGGCAAGAATCAACTCATTTCTCCTTCAATTTGAAATCCTGGTCACATCCCGAAGAATGCGTGCGCGGAAACACCACAGGCCATGACGTCACTTGGAGAAACGAAGTTGTAGAAAACAAGTTTTTATTGCTGTAACGAAGTGTGCCAGCTGCGTACACCATCTAGCATGAAATCGGGATACAAATAAATGTGCACAAAAACTACGCCCGTTTGTTTTTCGTGTGCACCGCACGAAAGGACAAAATTATTGTAATTTAAGGAACAAATTGCAATTGAACCTTCCGGCTTGTTTGTATATGAATGTAATGACAGGTTGATGAAGGTACTTCTTGTTCAGATTAATGACCATAGTTTAATTAAGACCTGACAATGTTTTTCTGCTAAGCTATTTGTATCGATACTGGGTAAGATTAAAGGCGGATGAAATGTCCCTGGGAGAAAATGGATTTGAAAGCCGACAGTCCTTAATCATATTTCGTTGCGATAATTATCGTCTTAATTTAATTGCATGCAGAAGGAAGAAAAGTAACAGTTGTTTCCGTAGAAATTGGAATCTTCCAGAAACGAGAGTAGTGTTCTGTGAATTAGTTTAGCAAATATCTGTTTGTGGATTTGTGTTCTTTAATAGCTACTTTTATTAGCACTTGTTTGCCAAAAGTATATGGTGTTCTTTGTCCTTGCATTGCTACTGTTCGTACGTATTTTCAAGTTACATGTCTGATGCTTTTCGTCATTTCATTGTGATTTTTACACTTTTTCTAGATGTTATTTGAATCACCTCATTGACATTGATATTCATTTATTATTGTTCGTGCATTTTGGACATCTAAAATATATATATCTTCATATCATTAAGCGTGATTGCAAAATGTCATTGATGTGTCTCAGTGAAATAAAAATCTTGAACTTGTTTACTTCATTGGTTTCCCTGGTCCTTTGGCTTCTGTGTCCTGTCGCCATTGACATTCACGTTCGTTATTTTTATAACGTGTACTTAAATTTTTAAAATTAAACATTATTTAAGAAAGGATTCTAGTACGTTTTCATGTTTCGTTAAGTTGCAAGTGCGAAGATATTCACACTACCATCGAAGAATCAGAAATTATTTTTCCTTGTATTCGTTATTCATTTTTCGTATCTAAAACTGTTTCAAATTCATGATCTGTATTTTAAACGTATAAAGATGTATTGTAGTATGAACCGTTTCTGAAGGAGAGGTAACATGTTATTTCAACTTTATTTGAAGTGAGGGGTGATATTTTATCAGTACGTGCGAAAATTACATTTATTAAACAACTTTCAGCATTTGAAGGAGTCTGTTTACTTTCATACTTTCCCTTCACTCAGAACTGAATTCATTTTAAATCGGAACTTCGTGTCGAAATCGAAGCGTTGTTTTGTGCAAACTGGCAGTCTAAATTATCGACAGTCGATGCAGTATGCCTACATTCTGTTAATTGCTTCTAACGCCATATTGTTATCAAAATGTACTGTCAGAACATCTCTTTTGCAGTGCATGTTTGCGAATCATATTTAAATTCACTCGCACTTCAAGACCTCGGATTTAGCGGTGGGTACTTAAAATGCTGAATAGAAGAAGCTGAGAGACTAATTCGTAACACATTTCTAAATATGAAGAGGGAATAAGCTTTTTCAAATACTTCACGACCTCCCGAGATATAATAACATGCTGATAATGAATGCTGGTATTTATTTCCTCCGAGAAGTTGGCAAATGTTTGCATAGGCTCCCAGGGTCGTCTGACTATTGTTTGAGTCAGTAGAGTCAATATCAAACATCTTACATGTGCATGGGTGACAGAAGTTCAACAATTCATTCAATATTTAAGTTGTATTTACCGACAAGTACAGTTCTGACTTCATAATTTCCATGTGTGAACAGGAGCAAGTAAATGGTGAATGTGTGAGCGAATGAGTGGATAAAACGTGGCTTGAGATAATCGGAGTAATAATTTTATGCACTTGATGTGGCTTTTTCTTGTATTTCATTTGTCATGACAGCGGCCACTGAGGTTTGACCTTTGGTGTTGGACATGGAGATACATTGTAAACATAACAAATTCTGTACGAAATACTGTTTATAAGTCAACAATTAAAACGTTTGAAATTAATTCCGACAAATTTCGTAGGCAAGATCTGTAGGTCTACTTACGTGACAGTAAAAATTCTTCCTAAGAAGCTATACAAACTGATCTGCTTTTTTTTTAAAAAAAAATTGCTTTAATATAATGTCAGTCTCAAGATTATGACCTGTAATGCATCAGTAGTCATCTCTGGTGTTACGGAACTGGGTCTACAGAGGCGTCTCTGTTTCAGGTGCGTGCTACGTGGGGAACCAGGACTCGAAGTCCCTGCTCGTATTCGTTCTGGCACCTCAATTTTTGTACCTGGTGCTGGGTGCCTCACTACTTCTGGTCGGTTTCCTGGCCCTCTTCCGCCGTCGTCCTCGACCTGCAAAAGTCTCCACATCTGCTGCACGACGCGACGCCAAAGCTGGTAAACTTGAGATGGTTACCGTTCGCCTGGGTGTGTTCGGGGTACTATACACAGTACCAACAACTTGTGTGGTGGCAAGCCTGTTTTACGAGTATTGGTCGCGTGATGAATGGCTTATGGTTTCCTCAGTGCCTCGTTACCAACCCCGGCCAAGTTTGTGGATCTTCTTGTTGAGACTTTTCATGTCCCTCGTCGTTGGGGTGACGGCAGGAGTGTGGGTTTGGTCGCCCAAAACATTGCGAGCTTGGAGACGTCTGTTCAACCGCTTGGGTCCTTACAAGCAGCCTCCAGTGAAGTGCCACCCCATACAATATTACGCACCTCCACCTCAACCTCTTTCGACATCCCAGCAGAGGTCTCAACATGCACACAAATCACGCAGAAAACATCGCAAACATGGCAGTGAAACGACTGTCTAATGCGATAAACAACCGGTTTCAAAGTGCCAAGTGTTTATCTTTCATTCTATTCACTATTCATTTACATGTTCATTTAACAGTTCCATCTTAATGCCTTTTTGCTGATGGACAGATGAGCAGCAGCAGCAGCATAATGACGGTGGTTGCAGCCATAATTTGTGACGACACAGTAACCGGTGAAATTATTGCACTTTTAGGTCTAAGTCATCCTGATTTTAAGGATGTGGAAATGCTGGAAGTGTTCATAGGTCGAAGTATCGAAATCTATCCCGCAGACAGAAGGGGTACATTCTTGTCTCTTACCTCGTTTTCAGGTTTTTATCGTTGCTAGCCCCTTGTCATGTGAAAACGTGTATTTATTCAGGCGCACTAGTGTTTCATGTACTGTCGCCGGCAATGTAAGAGAATAAAACTGACCTCTTTTTTTCCCCCAAATATTACCATCATACATGTTGATCAGAATTTGTGATGTGTCAAAATTAAATTTTAGATTCAAGAAATCAGTTTCGATAAGTATGCAATTAAAACTCTGGAAATAATTATCGAGGAAAACAGATGTTATTAGTGTATAACTCACAACAACGGTCAGATTCACTTACATGATATGGACAGTAGGCTTACGTATTTGCTGCAGCTATGCTTAAAGTTTATCTTGTGTAATGATCCTGTTTTGATATCGATATGAAAAACGTGTATGTCGAATAATATCTCAAAGATATGCTTTAGAGACGCAGATTATCATTCTAACATTGTTGTGTAATGTTTTAAATGTATGAATTTAAACACATTGAATTTCACTTTACACCCTTTCATCTTCCGCTTCGTTTATCGGCCCTCCTCGGTGCAGTCAGCATTATACTACCGCAAAAGAGACTCGCTCCTAGCCTTTCCCTTGAAAATTCCACCGGCCAAAAACTACTGCGCCGACTATACCACAATGCATTGCAGTCGTTATTTTCAATATAAGTTCTTTTTTCTGTAGTTCCTGCGACGAGGCTTTCTTTGCAGAGAGAGTGGATCTCTTCTGATTTCTACAGCATTCTTCATTCGTGTACAAGATCCTGATATATTGCTGACATGATGGAAACCATTTGCTCCCTCCAAGGTCTCTGTTTCGTTAATTTGTTTAGACTGCAATAAACTGGATGACATTCTGCAGCTACCGTACACTGCCTTTCGATATAGTTTGTTTCCATAGTGTCACTAATAATTTGGATGACATATTAGTTTTAATCCCTAGGGCGTAACAATCACAAATAGTTTTATTGACTTGTGGCCTTCTCGCTTAATCACAATGGGTTCTGACAATCGCTTGCCCATCTCATACACAGAAGAGGAGTGGTCATTTATTTACTTACACTGCCATCCTGACTTTTAATCGATTGTCACAGGATGTGCATGACCAGACATACGGATATGTTAATCACAGAACGTACTCAGATATAAGTTGTGTCACAGTCGATCTAATGCCGGCGTTCGACTTCGACTGGCATAAGTTTTATTAGAGTCATATGTAACTGTAACGAGAGTTACTGTATATTGTTTGTTACTCTTTTTTGTATTAAAGATCATCTGCAGATGTCTTTGTGGTGATATTTTTTACTTTAATGTGTTTTATATATTCCTGTATGTATATTTTTATTAGAAATGTTAGCTTAAATATATGAAATAAAAATGGCAATCATATGTTTGTAATGGTGGCTGTTATAAATTATGATGAGGAAGTCCTGAGGTTTTCCAAGAATTGTTAACGCCCCTGTATTTTTTTTTTACTTTGTTTTAACTTCTATTTCCATACTTCCTTCACTATTCTAAACCAGACCTCCAGTTCCTGTTGATTATGCTTTCCACATACAGACCATGTTTTCCCCTCCGCTCCTTTGTAACCCATGAACGAAACCTGTGGCGTTGTTGATGTATGTTTACGTCTTTTATTTTTTTCACAGGGTGATGACTAGCTGATTACGAGTGTGCTAGCGTGTATGTTTTTCATCAAGAAGTCTGGAATAAAGAATTGTAAGAACTGAAACAAAAACGTACGTTTCAAACCATTAACAAAAATCATTTTAGAGGTTAGAAAGATATTTGTTTGCTGTGTTATATTCTTTGCAATAGAAAACATAATACTTAAGCAGTATACTGATTTAAACTGATGAATTATCAGGAAGGAATGTAGAATTAATAAATTACTCGACGTAATGCAATTGCGAGAGTTATTTTTTATTCTCGTAATTAGTGCTGTTCGGCTAAATAAATTAATTTTGTTCAAAGATTAAAATGAAATATTAAGCTTCTGTAAAGAATAGTCAGTGTGTATAAATCTGTGATATGCCTCGTTTGCTTCTAGTGTGTGTATAATGCATCTTCTGAAGAGTACTCGGATCGAGGCTTGGCGGAGACGTCGTCTGTAACTGTAACATGTTCCGTGAAAAATAACGTATAAATACACTAGGGAATTCAAAATTAATTGTTTCACGCAAATGTCTGTATCTGCCGTAATTCTAAATGTGTTGCAAACTCCTTCCTTAGTCTTGCCTTTCATCTTGAAAGCGAACAAATATTTGGCAATGGAAATTATTTTGTCTACATACATAATGGAAGCTTTCAGTGCTTGATATATTTAGAAAGTGATGATGTCTCTAATGGTTTTGTTTGTGTTACATTAAATTCTGCCTGTGGCGGCACAGCTTTGCCTATTTGAAACACCGTATTCTTCGTCTGCCATCTGAGTTGGCCCAGTTCTGCAAATAGCCTCACACCATAGTTTCTAGAATAATCCCTACCCCTCGGGGAACATTCCGTGCAGTTCCGCATCAATCTGAAACGCACTTTATTTCAGCATTTTGAATGAATTGTGTTTGTGCGCGTTTTTTAAAAATTTAAATCTGCATTCTCCTGAAATCCGAGTGTTTGAAAATGTATCAGTAAAATATGACTGACTACAACAAATAACCCGGAAACGACAACTTATTGAAACCTTCTTCATCCTTCTGTTGTGTGAGTGCACATTCACCCTTCTCATAAACTCACGATGTTTGGTGAAGTTGTAATTAACTATCGCAAACAGGTTCACGTGTTTCTTAATATTTTCTTTAAAAATGGTTGATTTGTTTTATTACCTATTTATTTAAAACTGATTTTTTAATTTAAGCGTTAAGTCTTCATTGGACAGAGTGATACAATATTTTAAATTTGTACTCTTTGGAGTGCATTGAAATTCCAAAAATGTTCTTCACGACATATCATTATCAGTGACGTAGTCACGTTATGTCCAAAAATGTTCTTCACGACATATCATCATCAGTGACGTGGTCACGTTATTTCTTTCATAACCACGACCCAAAGGAACTGTAGACTTATTTAACTCTTACTCTAACAGAATAAGAAATTCAGTGTTATTAAAGGTCACTGTTGGAATAATTTGATACGACGCCACGGCGATCCAACACAGAACTCAGTTGTTTTAACAATGTCTTCCAACGATGTTCTTGGTTACTTTTGTTGCAATGGCGTGTTCTAAAGACCGCATTGTAGCAACAATGTGTCCCAAAACAAGATGCCACTTCAGAGCGTTCAACAGTTTATCCGAATGGAGGGATAGTGAAGTGAACATACAAGTTCAAATATTATTAGATCTGACATTTTCATGGCGGCGAAGAAGACAATATTGGTCTTCTGGGCTTTATGGCCATGTGGACTTGTCGGTAGATATCGTGCCAACATTTCGAACGAACAACAAAGAAGACCGTGAGAAATGGTTTCGAACACGGCGCAAGGGAACACAAGATGCTGATTTGATCTAAATTCCGGGTATTGCATTCCAACATCCAGGGGAGTCCAAGAACGTTCTCTTATTTAGCCGCACGGGCAAATAAACACAAAAAAGTCTTCCCAGTTGTATCACAAGCTGGAATAACGTAGGCAGCAGACAGAAATCCTCAGCTCTGTCCATAGCTGCTTGGAAGTAAGATTTTTTTAAACAGAATTTAATACCTAGATACGTAGTCATATAATTCAATTGTCAAGCAGAAGTAACCCCCTCCATGCTATTGGCTTTTCGAACAGCACAATCCTCCAGGGTATTTGGTTGCCTGTATAAACTTCACGCACGCAGCACGACCAACATAACAAAAGAGCGAAGGCGTTGGTTCTCGCGTCCCTCATGACTACTGCTGTCTTTTCTATTTATTGTCACTCTTTGCTCCCCCACCCCCCAACAGGCTTCTTGCTCAGTCCGAATGGCTGGAACCTGAAACCAGCAGGTAAGCCTATGGTTAGCGGCAGCAGGAAGTCACGTGAAGCACACGTAAAATAAATCTTCTCAGCCTCCCGTACCACCACCTCTTTTTGGATTTCCCTCTCTCTCCCCGCCACAAACACTACGACCAACTTCTGGCATGACATTTCTCTCGGCGTTGCCACATTAGGTTGTGTCAACTGATTGGAACAGACAAGGAAATTATGTTGGAATAATGCATGACACAGCAAGAGAGGAATGATCCAGCGGATTGCGGAATAGATTGAAACGTGAAGCTTCTGCGTTTGAGAAGCCCAACAAAGAATAGGAATGCTGAAAAACGACCTGTTTTTTAGCCTTTCTGTCGTTACTCCTTTAAGTGCTTCTTCGCTTTTGTTTGGAAGCAACTCAGGCGTGACTGGCTCTGTTAACACCGAGCGACATTCCCAGCCAGCATTTCTCCTCATTACCACCACGAAGCTGTAATATCAGTTTGTCATTCCACTTTACTGTTCGTATTGAGTTCTCAGAATACGAACACAAGAGCATTCCATTTATTTTTCACACTTGTTGGGTTTTTGTATTTGCTTATGCTAAAAATATTGACGATTCGGGTAGCTACGTCAGCGTAGTGACTTACTACGGGCTTGGTGATCGGGGTTCTTCACTGTATGGTGTAAGCTATTTTATTGTCGTTATATACACCATATAAATTAATTGGTTAAATAAAAGATAACTCTTATCCTATTGAATATTACTTACTCTCTAGGATACTTCCCAGAACATTAACATTAACCCTGTTGTATGCATCATTATAGCAGATTTATTTGTTGGGCGTATGTTTAAATTTAAAGTTATCACACGGACTACTTAAGTGTAACAGTGTGTCCCTTGTACAGTTCGAAACAGGCCAAGTACACTACTCTAACATATCGATTCTCTGCCACAAAATCCTCATTGTTCTTCAAGTTGTCTCTTCCCTTCAGGGTTTTCGACCGAAATTTTGTAGGCATGTTTCACCTTCGCCATGCTACATGGTCGGCCTGTCTCATCCTTCTTGATTTTATAGTCTTAATAATGGAAATTATGAAACGTTTCGTCATTCAGTTTTTTCGGGCCTCTTGTCAAATCTTTTCTCTTATTTCAAAATACTTTTATCAGCACCCAGAAGGACGATTTAACAGCTGTAGCGTCTCATAATAAAGACTGGAACGTCCGAGACCTATTTTGCTTTCAGCCCAGTTTCGATCCGTTGCTGGACTAGGGAAGATTATGTTATATTAGATATTTATTAATAAGTTCAATTATTAATGTAAGATCCTAGTGTGCATCGTTGCACTGCGCAGAGATATATTTTTTTTTTGTCAGAGTTACCATTTCCTTTCACAGACAAATTATTTTCGTTAAATTATTAAACATTTATCATTCTGAAAAATCTCAAACAACAATTTTGTGTTCATCTGCATCGTACATGATGTGTTCTTCACTGCAATCAGATTTGCGTGTGCAATGACAAGTATTTCTTGGTTACTTTATCTAATCCCGCCTTTTCATTTGCAATCGTTGTTTAATCGATCGATAAGTGACGTAATTTAGATGATGCTCAGAAAAAGAGTTCTGAACCAGTGGTACATGTCGTTTGATTAGGCTTACGTGAAGCCTCTTCAACAAATGCTGAGATGTATTGCATGCATTGTTAAACAAGAATCAAATAAATATTTATCTTGTTGTTTTATAATAATTTAGTACACGTAATCAATTAGCTGACCACTCACCCCCATCTAGTGCCGAGGTCAAGGAAGAGAGGAGCTATACCTCCACTCACCACAAACGCCTACATGGTGTATAGTGGGACAAACTTTACTTTACTAACGATGGTGTGTTACAATCGGGATCACTAAGTTCTTGAACTATGTCCATCGTCTCTGGGTTTTTTAAAAAAAAGAACACTACGTTTATGAAGATGGATCTACTTACGTCCTTAGGTTTAAAAGGAGGAGAGGGGCATTTTCTTCGTAGAGTCTTATAGAAAGAGCTAACCTCAATCACTGGTTTAGTGACAGGTTAGCTCTTTCTATCAGAACGATGTGTTCGGTTCGATTTCTGCAATTTATGGCAGGCTATTTATTGTTTCAAAACAAAACAGTGAACAGTTGGATGGAAGGCAGTACCGTCAACATTTCACTAAAGAAGACTTGCAACACCCTCTGTACGACATGAATACGTTTGTGGGCATGGACGAAAACATTCACGCTTTCTTTAATTCTACATGAGACGGAGGTGCGTCGTTAGAATCATTTTAATAACCTAATATTAGTCTACAAAAATATAATACGCATAGGACGGCGTATCAGACACGTTGAGCTTTTGAAACAGATCAGACACCCAACACACACGTTGTTTATGTGACGCTGGGAGATGACATGCCTTAATAGATAAATAATATGGAATATTTTATTAGTGATTCTATATCAGTATTCAGGATGTGGCTTAGAATTGGATTTCATCCAAATGTCGATTGGAAAATGTGTTCCACCATCCACATCGTTGGAGATAAGCCAGACTTTTGCAGCCAACCAAAGTGGTATGTTCAGTTTACAGCTGCCGGTGTAACTTTAACGAGGCGTGAATGTGGTAGACTCAGAGCAGAACGCGCCATGATTGATGGGGATTGAAGTGACAATCAGTTTAACCACAAATTACGTGACTTGGGTTGTCCACAGTATTGGATATGTTCAAGAACTTGGTTTCTAACGTGTGAAAGGCACCCCATCAGAGACCTAAATTAAGATGGCTATCTTCTGGTTTGTAGAGCCATGTGGTCTAGAAGTTTACCAACGTTTCAGTGGTCATTGCTGTCTCCATCATCAGGGTAATGAGTGACTTATCGCCCACTGACACGTTGGTAAACTTCTACCGAACTTAGAACTATAACCTAGGAGGCAGCCATCTTCGGACTCACTTTACTAAATTAAGTTATGCCTCAGAAATTACAGAAATTGCATGGATATTTTAAATCATAATCATTTATTGCCGCCTGCCCACAACTTGAACTTTTTTACTTTACATTATATCATGGTGGGCGTATATGAACACGGTAATGAAACATCGTATTCCATAGAAGGTAAGGAATTTGTTGACTTTCAGTACAACCATTAGTTTCTTAGGAATGGCTGTATTCTGTGGGCTTATTATTATTATTATTAATGTTAATTTTTTTCACACGTTCTCCTTGGTACTTTACCTCTTGAACGAATGGTGTACCCTACCACTTAGGCTTCAATTTTCTGAATGTTTCACTTTTCTCGTGACGTGTGATGTTTCTAGTACAGCTGATGTTTGTACAGAAACTACTCAATACTTTCCTGGTATTGTTTCTAGACATTTCCATAGTCTTTTAATTCGAAATCCTGTGGCTCCCATGATTACCGGTGTGATAAAACATTGAATATTTCACATTCGCTGAATTTTTATACTTAAATGTTTGTATTTTAATTTATTCTCGGACTCCTTCTGTATTACATTCCTATCTGGTGATATTGCTACATCTATCAGTAAGCAACGTTTAGCTTTCTTGTTTTTACTTATTGTATTTGGCCTCAGTTTTTACCATTTGATTCCACAGTACTGTTATATCTTGACATATACGTTGGAATACCAACTTAGGTATGTCGGACTACCAGTTGTCTGTTGTTTCAATGCCTAATGTTTTGCATACTGAGAAATGTAGATATGTACGTACTTTATCATGTCCTGTTATGATTTCATTCTTTGCCAGAATGGGCGATCGTTATGTTAGGTGGGTTCTAGTTTCTTCGTGTTTGTTGCATATTCGGCATCTACTTTCAATTTTGTAATTAAAAATGTTTCGCTTAAAGTAGTTTGTACTAATTACCTCATCCTGAGCTGCTAATATTGTGCTTTATGTTTATCCACCAAATTTCCTTTTGAGATAATTGAAAATTGTCTATGCATCCTTTTTTCTTTCCATTTTTCTTCTATATTTTGTGCTATTATGCTTTTATTTGATTTAGAAAAAAATTAATTATATTTGTTAGCTGTTTGTAGTAATGCTGAATTTGTGTTATGTCCGTGCGTGCTTAGAATTTGTTTCAGTGCATCTTCTTTCTTTTCTACATCATCATCATCATCATCAAGTAACCGTCAAAGATTCTGGGCCGTGTGGCCCGTTCCGGCCTCATTCGTCCTGGAATCGTTTTAAAGGGCGTCATTTGTTTCTCCTTCCTATTGGTTTGTCTTTCAAAATTAGATGTGGCAATCTGTCCTTGTCCATTCTTCGTATAAATTCATTCTGTATCTGTGAATTTTTTTTAATATTGGTTCTGTTAGCAGTTCTTTCTTTTCTACATATTTCACCAAATTAAGAGTTTCTGCTATGGAGGATCCTTCTACCTGCATTAATACTCCTCCTCCCTCTTTCCTCGGTACATACAAGCGATCAATGTGTGTTCATGTGTGATGCTGCTGTCCGTGGATTGTTGGTATTTTCGGTGTTCCTGCCGGGTGTTGAACCCATCTTCAGCCTGCTCACACAGAATGACTGAGTTATCCTGACTAATTATGATGTTGCTGCGCCAAATTATACACACTTTATCAAATTCCATTATAATAAAATCTGAGTGTTCAAACAAGAAATCCGAGTTACTGTAACGCAGGGCACTTAGTTAATTACCAGTTGTATATCCAGTTTATACAGATCCATGTAAAGTACACCCCTTGTCCCCATGGCATGGTGCATACTGGGGTTGTAGATGGAGGAGAAGACCTCCAAATTTCGAATAAGCAGTTGAGGTCAGCCGCAAGGGTGGGAAATTTCTCGACTAGCTGAACGAATGTTAGCTTATCAAGAAGCACTTTGCTCCATGGATTTAGTTACTTTGACGCAGTGAGATTTCAGGTTCTGACGAAGGCGAGTGTGAAGATGATTGTCTTTTGGAATGTTGTACAGAGTAGTCTCGTAAAAATGAATACGACATTTTAGAAGTGCTTATTGCCTCCATCGTCAGTGCGATCCCAGAAGACAGTTATTTTGAAACTTGTCTCCATGAGAACCTAAAATCTCATCTGAATTTAAATGGTACAGAGTAGGAATAATCGCCGACTTTCTCTTTGTCATTAATATTTTCATGTTAAGTGGTTCCTTATTCCCTCTAGAGATGGTGTTTAATTTGGTTTGGGTAACTACGTACGGGGCATTTAATCCTAGGACAATGCTGAGACAAACACTGCAATACTCGGTCTGAGATAGATCGACAGGCATGAATAGACCATATTGTGTTCTTCGTTTATATTTTAGCGTGAAGAACACCGAAAAATAAGTAAATTATTTTGAGATCTAGAATTCATATGTAACATCTTAATTTGTAATGCTGATACATTTGTGGAACAAAACCACTCACATCCACGAACATGCAATAATTAATTATTAGGTTTATAATTCGCTCACAACAGCTTACGTGCATGATATTGGTTATCGGCCACTGGCACGTTGATAATTTACATAACTACTGATAGATGCCACAACGATCGGCTGTTGACCGCCACAGACAACTAAAATGCAGTGTGTAGTTCATACCTCCACTGATAGATAGCCACAACAGTAGTTTGAAATGTCACCGATAAATGGCAGCACCAATAGTTGTCACAGAAAACAAAAGGGCTGGACATATTTGTGTCTTTGAAGTTCGTGGAAGTAAGGAATAGAACGACTAGAGAATCGGAAGGGAAGCAGGTTAGAAAGCATCTATCCAGGTGGCAATACTTTGCAGCTCGCTGTCTCATTTCCTTTGTCATCAATGTATGTTGTTGTCCTAGGAGGTGCGTTGGTTTTTATTCTTCATGTAAGCAACTGACGCAAATAAAATACAATTTGATTCTTGGATGCAGAACATGGCACCACGATGTGCCACTACCTCACCGTAGATGATCGTCTCTCATCTGAGGACTTCCAGCATCCGTCGCTTTGGTATTGCGGATTGTGAATACAAAGCAAAGCTGTCCCACTATACGCCATGTAGGCGCTTGGGGGGATTGCGGATTGTAAGAAATTAAAAAGTACGAGAATACATTTACTTCCGATGGCATTACTTGTAGATGAAATTTAATGAAAACCTGCTGTGCCATTCTCGAATAACAAATAAAATGTACGCACACAACAACCTGGGAGATGATCTCACCAAGGCAGACCATTTTTCCAAGGCCAATGGTGTTATCATGTATACACTGAGAATAATGCGTAACTGAGTCGTCACCTTCCCATCTCACGATTTTCACATTCCATTACGTAAGATTATTGACTAAGCACCAACAACATAGTGTCCATACCAAATTTAATGAGTCTGTCGAGTATAGGTAGACATCGATGATGGCAATATCTCGGAAAATGACGTAATCAGGGCAACCAATGCAAAATAAGAATTGGTATTCACTGTGATGACATAGTGGCATAACCTCCAAACCATCTAGCTATTCTGGAGTTGTTACATGGCAGAACATGTAATTTGTAGGACTGCCGATAGATGTCAGCACGCAAAAACATGCTGATATGTAAATAACACCTATAAGGAAGAAAATATTCTTAAAATTATTTTTAAACCAACAATATTTAGCCTTCTAATTGTGATATGTACTAGTCCTCGCAAGAATGATACCAATGCAATTTCCAATCGTACATCAATTTTAAATCTGTACATCGGAGCCAATTTGGGATTATAAATGTGGCTCACTTGACAGTAAAGTGCTAATTAGTAGAATTGTAATATTGTTATGTGGATGTTGCAATCATAGGCTTATTCTCAGTACCTATTCAGCGGTTGATTACTGTTTTCTTTAAAATTTTCCTAGAGACCATTATAATGGACAAATATTAAAATAATTATCCTGTCAATAGAACAAACGTATGCGTTGGATAGACGGTTAGACAGTCGTCCCAAAAAATGAGATCATCGCATATGGAGTTAGGTCTGCAAGATTTTCTTTCTAACTAAACATGCAGGAAGGTTATATAATCATAATTGATATACGAGCACTAAAATAGTGTGCGCGTGTAAACGACCTTATGCGTTGCTTATTATATATATTTGTAGGTTGGTGTCCCTGATATCACAAGGACGCCATTCTAGACAACGGTTTTTACAGAGAATGGAGGCTTTTGATATAAAATTAATTTGTAGGTTATGTGCGAGAGAAGATGAGTCTTGCATCCAAGTGTTTGGGGAGAACGGCATAAAACACAATATATCGAAAAAAATCAGATTGTGTTTACCAATTATTACAGTAAGTTATGTAGTTCTTTGTTATACTTGTCGAATGTTAAGTACAGACATTTAGCGGGAAACGGTAGCATGTAATGATTTCAGTAGGGGGTGACGTGAGTGGCCATTATAAACAAGAATACTGAACTGTGTTAATAGAACAAACACTGGAACGCCTTTATAGGATGGTCACATGTAACTGTGTGTGAATCTGAGTTTCACTTTTACATGACATAAAAGTGTAATCCATATAAGCAGTTTTGATTTTAGGTTATGCTTTCAGCTATTATACCTTACACAGACCATTCTAAACTATGTAAGTGATCTTTATATTGAAAGGAATATCCAAAAATTATTTGTGTTTGTTGAGAAAGCAAGACTGATGAGTGCAGGTAAAATTAAACTTCTGTATAAGCTCAATTGCAATGCATGGTGAAATATGAACTATGATTAACACATAACTTCTGCCCTTACAGTCTGTTCAGATTAACTGGTTTTCAACCAGTTTGTCATTGTACTGAAGTAGGGAGGTGTGCCTTACATTTTTTTACATTTCAGGATTTAATATAGCCCTGGATTGTGGTTTATGAGAGGTTCGATGTAACTACTGGGGGTAGACTGCAAACAGGCTACAGGTTTTACCCATCATATTCGTTTTATTTTATTTATGTAATTATCATATATTTTTCAGTCTCACAAGTAAACAGCCAGACAGTTTTAATGCAAGAAAATGTCTATTTTATTGTTGTTATGAAATTAATTATTTCTGGGAAGCTTGAATATCTTGTAGGATTTGAGATTTTCACTGCAGTCCTGATGGCAAAATCAGAGACCTCTGAATCATCACTAAACTTCTACCAGATTGCATGGCACAACAACCCAGAAGAAAGCTATCTTGAGTGTCTTGTTCATATTACCTGTTGTGAAAGCCTATGTTAGACTAACTAACTAACTGCTTGGCTTACCGAACCCGAAGGTTCATCACCAAATTAAATTAACCAAAGCCCTCCACCAGATGCTGTCCTGGGCCAACAAAATCAAGTCTCCTTCAACTGCTATCTCTCATAGATCCCCCCTGACGTTATCCTCCCATCTACGTCTAGGTCTCCCCAGCAGTCTCTTCCCCTCAGGCTTCCCAACCAATACCCGGTGCACACTCCTTGTCCCATCCATGCGCGCTACATGTCCTGCCCATCTCATTCTTCTTGACTTAATCACCCTGACAATATTGGGGGAGGAGTACAGATTTTTAAGCTCATCATTATGCAGTTTTCTCCATGCCCCATC